TGATCTGGGCCAGCTCCACCTGATGGGGTGACAGTTTCTCCAGCAGTTCACGCACATTTTCTTTCTACAGTAATAGCAACCCCCGAGATTTGTTTAGGGCTTTTAGTTCACTAAGACTTTTACATAATTAGTGTTATTTGAACCTCAAACTTGATGGCTGAATAATATTCCATTTTTGTTTGTGGGTGTGTGTGGATGTGTGTATTTGTATCTCACAACTTCTTTATCCATTCATCTGTCATGAACAGTTAGGTTGTTTCCATATCTTGACTATTGTAAATAATGCTGCAGCGAACATGGAAGTGCAGCTATCTCTTTGAGACAGTGATTTCATTTGCTTTGGATATATACCCAGAGGTGGGATTGCTGGATCATTTGGTAGTTCTACTTTTAATTTTGGGGGGAACCTCCTTACTATTTCCCATAGTGGCTGTACCAGTTTACATTTCCACCAGTAGTGCATGAGGGTTCCTTATTCACCAGCCCTTATCTCTTTCTTTATGATAATAGCCATTCTAACAGGTGTGAGTTGGTATCTCTTTGTGATTTTGATTTGCATTTCCCCAGTGATTAGTGATGTTGAGCAACTTTTCATGTACCTTTAGCCATTTGTATATCTTCTTTGGAAAAATGTCTATTCAGGTCCTTTGTCTATTTTTAACTGGATTATTATTATTATCATTTCTGTCATTGAGTTGAATGAGTTCATTACATATTTTGGATATTAACCTTTTATCAGACATATGGTTTGCAAATATTTTCTCCCATTCTCCCTTTACATTTTGTTAATCATTTAATTTGCTGTGCAGATTTTTAGTTTGATGTAACCCCCTTGTTTATTTTTGCTTCTATTGCTTGTGCTTTGGATGTCTTATAGAAAAAATCATTGCCACCACCAACGTCAAGGTCACCCCCTATGTTTTCTTTTAGAAGTTTTACAGTTTCACATCTTACATTTAAGACTTTAATGTATTTCAAATTAACTTATGTGAGTGGTGTAAGACAGTGGTCTAATTTTATTCTTTTGCATGTGGATATTCAGTTTTCCCAACATGGTTCATTGAAGAGACTATCTTTTCCCATTGAGTAGTCTTTTCTCTCTTGTCAAATATTAGTCAAACGTGTAGGTGTGAGTTTATTTCAAGGCTCCTGATTCTGGTCCATTGTTCTACGAGTCTTCTTAAAAATGCCATTTATACTGTTTTGATTATTATAGCTGTGTAGTATAGGTTAAAATCAAGGAATGTGATGCCTCTAGCTTTGTTCTTTCTCAAGATTGCTTTGGCTATTTGGTGTCTTTTGTGGTTCCATACAAGTTTTGTTACCATTCTTTCTATTTATGTAAAAGATGCATTGTAATTTTGATGGGGATTGCACTGAATCTTTTGATGGCTTTGGGTAATATGGACATGTTAACAATATTAATTTTCCTGATCCATGAACACGGAGCATCTTTTCATTCATTTGTATTGTTTTCAATTTCTTTCATCAGTGTATTAAAAGATTTTTTAGTGTGCAGATCTTTCCATTCAATTAAATTTATTTCTAAGTATTGTATTGTTTTTCAAGCTATTATGAATGGGATCACTTCTTTTTTTCTTTTTCAGGTAGTTCATTTTTAGTGTATGGAAACACAACTGATTTTTATATGTTGATTTTGTATTCTGCAACTTTACCGAATTTGTTTATTAGTTCAGACAGTTCTTTGGTGGAGTCCTTAGGGTTTTTCATAGATAATATGTCATCTGCAAACAGACAATTTGGATGCCTTTTATTTCTTTTTCTTGCCTGATTCCTCTGTCTAGGGCTTGAGCACTGTGTTGAACAGCAATGGTAAGAATAGGCACCTTTGTCTTATTCTTGATCTTAGAGGAAAAGCTTCTAACCTTTCATGCTTAAGTATGATATTAGTTGTGGACTTGTCATTGTATGGCTTTTATTATGTTGTGGTATTGAGAGGTTTTTTTTCTTATCATGAACAGATGTTGATTTTTGTCAAATGCTTTTTCTGCATCTATTGAGATGACTGTATAATGGTTTGCTAGTATTTTGTCCAGAATTTTTGCATCCATATTCATCAGGGATACTGGCCTGTAGTTTTCTTATAGTGTCCTTATCTGACTGGTAATGCTGGCTTCATAAAATGAGTTTGAGTGTATTCCCTACTCTTTAGTTTTTTTGGAAGAGTTTGAGAATTAATTTTTTTTTGAGTGGTTGATAGATTTACCAGTGAAACTATCTGGTCCTGGGGTTTTCTCTTTTGGGAGGTTTTTGATTACTGATTACTAATTCAGTTTCCTTACTTGTTATTGGTCTGTTCAGATTTTCTATTTCTTCAGAATTTAGTCTTGGTAGGTTGTATGTATCTAGGAATTTATCCATTTTTTCCTAGGCTGTCCAATTTGTTGGCCTGTGATTGTTCATAGTAGTCATTTATGATTCTTTGTATTTCTGTGTTATCTGTTGTAATATCTCCTCTTTCGTTTATAATTTTATTTACTTGAGTCTTCTTTTCTTGGTTAGTCTAGCTAAAGGATTGTCAATTTTGCTTATCTTTTCAAAGAACCAACTTTTTAAGTTTTATTGATCTTTTCTGTTGTTTTTATATTCTCTATTTCATTTATTTCTGCTCTAATCTTTAATTTTTTCCTTCTGCTCAATTTGGGCTTAGTTTGTTCTTTCTACCCTAGTACCTTGTGTAATTTCAGATTTTTTTTTATGTAGATGTTTATCACTATAAACTTACCTCTTAAACTGTTTTTGCTGTATCCCATTAAATTTTGGTATACTGTTTCCATTTTTATTTTTTTCTGAAGATATATGTTTAAAATTTTTTCCTTCTGACTTAATTGTTTAGATATGTGTTATTTACTTTCCATATACTCTCCCTTTATGTAAATTGAAGGCTGAAACTTGCATTCCAGAAGAATACAAAAGACAGGGGCTCAGTGTAATCCTTGCCAGTTCAAAACCTTGCTAGTTTTTAGGATTTCCAGAGCTATGGAATCAAAAGGAAAGGACTCTATGCTTATCTCATAATATAAACATAATATTTCTGCAGAGAATTAAAGTTTGGGCTATTTATCTGCACTGACGTCTTCCTCATGCAGTCAATGTCCTTGGATTCAATGTATGTCATTATAGGTGCATTAGGAAAGAACTGTTCTGATTTCACGATGACCTGATGGGAAGGTTTGCTGAGACCATAACTAAGGTCAAGTTGAAGCAGCTTTTTTGAGTTAGTATTGTTAGAAATGGGTTTTTCTAACTAAAATATAGCTTAATAATTTTCTAGAGAAGGACACGAGTGGTTTCTTGATCTGGTACCATTTTCTGTCTTGTGATCTCATTCTTTTTCTTAAAAATATTTGTCTTTTTTCTATTCTAATATAAATATTTGTTTTATATAAAAATTTTGGAAAATACAGAAAGGTAGAAGGAAAAACTCTGTAATTCTCATAACGAGAATACTTTTTGGCATATTTCTTTTGAATCTTTTTGGATGTATTCTCCTCAGTGTTGCTATGATCATCTGTCATATTCAAAATGGTCTATATCTCTTTTGGGAAAAAGATCTGGTTTTAAAATTATAAAAGTAAAACATGTTCTTTGTAGAAAATGTGAAAATACAAAGAAGTGTAAAAAGTTTCAGATTCTGGCAGTATGGCAGAGTAGATGTTCAGAGAAACCCCTTCCAGTGCAGAACTAAGATAGAGGATTAAACAGATGGAATATCAAAGAGCATTTCCCCTCAGTAGAGCTGAGACTGCCTGGAAGGCAACACAATTAGAGTAGATGCAAAACTAGGGAAAAACCTGCCCAATTGGTGGAAAGCAAAGAAAAACCTCTTCCTATGAATTTTTAAGTCATAAGCCTATACTTGAAAAGATTCAGGGCTGGAATTCATGCCATTATTTGGCCAACAACACCCCAACTTGAAAATTTAACTTAAAGTGGTTCTAGATTAGTTGTGTCCTCATGTACTTGGCAGGAACAAATGCAGATTATCTCTGACAAGGCTCACTTTAAACTCAGGCCACAATGAATTCCATAGATAAAGTTCCAAGGAATGTGAGCTTGCAGGTATAAACTGCTGAACACATGAGGAAACAAGATGTGAAGGAGAATCAGCAGAAACCAACAACCACTGAATTAGTCCAGCAAAGGCTGTGCACATTAA